CTTGATGCAGGCCAGGATGCTGCTGGCCTTCTTGGACACCTACACACACTGCTGGCTCATGTTCAGCTATCTGTTGATCAACATCCCCAGGTCTCTTACTGCCAGGCAGCTTTCCAGTCACTTCCCAAGCCTGTAATGTTCTATGGGGTTTTTGTAACCCAAGTGCAGGACCCAGCACTTGACTTTGTTGAAGATCATGCAATTGGCCTCAGCCCATTGATCCAGACTATCCAGGTCCCTCTGCAGAGCCTTCTTACCCTCAAGCAGATCAACACTCCCACCCAACTTGGTGTCATCTGCAAACTTACTGAGGGTGCACTCAACCCCCTCATCCAGATCACTGATAAAGATGTTAAACAGGACTGCCCCTAACACTGAGCCATGGAGAACATCACTTGTGACCAGCCACCAACTGGATTGAGCTCCATTCACTACCACTCTCTGGGCCTGGACATTCAGTCAGTGTTTGAACCAGCAGAGTATACTCTTGTCCAAGCCTTGGGCAGTCAGTTTGTTCATGAGAATGCTGTGGGGAACAGTATCAAAGGCTTTACTGAGGTCCAGGTATACAACATCCACAGCATTTCCTTCATTCACCAAGGGGGTCACCTTGTCATAGAAGGAGATCAGGTTAGTCAATCAGGACCTGCCCTTCCTGAACCCATGCTGACTGGGCCTGATCAGCCTGTTGTCCCATAAATACTGTATAACATCTTGATTTGTTCTATGACCTTCCCTAACACCGAGGTCAGACTGACAGGTCTGTAGTTTCCCGGATCCTCCTTATGGCCCTTCCTATAGATGGGCATCACATTTGCAAGCCTCCAGTCCACTGGGACCTCCCTGGTAAGCCAGGACTGCTGATAAATTATGAAGAGTGACTTGGTGAGCACTTCTGCCAACTACTTCAGCACTCTCGAGTGTAACCCATCTAACTCCATAGAACTGTATGTCTAGGTGGTGCAGCAGGTCACTGACCATCTCCTCTTGGATTATGGTGGACTCATTCTGTTCCCCATCCCTGTCTTCCAGCTCAAAGGGCTGGGTATCCAGCAGACGACTAGTCCTGCTATTAAAGACTGAGGCAAAGAAGGCATTAAGTACCTCAGTCTTTTCCTTATCCTTAGTCAGTGAGTCTCCCTGCATCCAATAAAGGATGCATTCTAAGAAAGAAACACTCAAAATGGGAAAGAGAAAATAGTTTACCCTCCATCTATACTCAGTCATCATCAGCAATTTGTAGCAAGCTTGCACCATCTTGTTGAACGCTACTTCAGATTGACAGTGCAAACTTGCATCCTGATTATTCCGTACTTGATCCTCTGTCCTGTAGAAGAAAAACTGTATGTATGTCTAAATTTGGTTTATAGGCTCAGGAGAGACTCTACTTCAGAAACCTCTGGGAACAGTGGCCTCTTTTACTTTGCTTTAAATTTTCCCTCCCTCTGTTATGGACATGTAACTGTAACCTCAGACCAGAGAAGGGAAGAAAAACATGACAAGTAATGATGTTGAAGTCTTAACAGCATAGACATCTACCAGACTCCAACACTGATCTTTGTAATGCAAATTTTCTTTGTCATTTTTCCTTAAGCAGTCAAGGATGAGCCTGGAATAAAGGCAGGTGGCCACCTGCAGAGGTGGTCCTGCTAGAAGAGGCAAAGGAAGCTCTAATCACTGGCAGCTGCTTGAAGTTCACTGTCCTGGATGTTGACCATTACCGGTGGGAGGTCACTCACATCTCCTTTCGAAGTGTCACAGTTCTAATTTTTTTTCTTATCCCAGTTTTTAAGTATGAGGGGGTTTTTTTCTGAAGTTTTAGTCATATGAAAAATAGGGCAAGTGAAACCAGTAGCTTTTATTGACAAATGCTAGTTTTGTGTTTGGCTCCAAGTATAATAAAAAAAATACCATTTTGTTTTTCTAAAGAGAGAGTCTATAAGAAATTAGTCCAATTGTCTTCAGAATCCTCTGAGTTAGACAATCTGGGGGACATTTTTATTTCATACTAAAAGGTAGCATTTATTCCGCTAACAAAAATGAGCCTGTATCAGCTTTAAGGTATAGTCACTTGTGACTATGAGGATAAACTATCTTCCCAACTGAAAAAGGGTGACTTTATACATGCTGTCTATTAGAAGCAATTCATGTAAAGTGCTGAACTGTGTTAGAGAATACTAGTTGGTATTAGCCAAAACAGTGCCAAGAATCATGCTAGCAATCAAACAATTTGGACAACTTTTCTTTTCAATAGAACAGCACAGCTGAAACCAAAATGTCACTTCGGAAATGCATTCAACACAAACTTCTGTAACTATGCAAGCCTTTAAAGACAAAACTAGGAGTTTTTAAACTGAAAGCTAGATGATTAATCTATTAATAAAGTGTTCTAGCCTTTTTATTTTATTTTTTATTGTTTCAATTTGAAACAGAGAAAATGTGTTATTAAAAGATATCACAGAGTAAATGAAGAGGAAGAGAATCATTTACATATGTACATAACTGTGAGCAGGACAGGTGCATGTGATTGCTTTAGAGATGTGTTGATTGAGTCAGACTGTGAAAATCCAAACTAAATCTCAGCAGATCTATGATGTTGTTTGTCATTTAAAAAGAATGATCAAAGCAGAGGCAGGGAAACGGCACTGTATAGAGTCCTGGTAGCCATGAGTCAGACTGTAACTGCAAACCTCAATTTACTTAATGAACTATCATTTTTGTTGCCTATTTCCACAAGAACACTACATTCCAATTATTTAGAAACATTATTCTCTTTCAGAAGTCATACACTGTCCTGGTTTGAGCTAAATAGAACTAATTTTCTATTTAGTGATTCTACTTTTCAGCTCAGTCTCTTTTAAGTGGCTGAACTTGCTGAAAACTGGCAGCATATTTTTCCCAGACAGTGCTGCTAGAAGATATGCTCAAGGTCAGTTGTCTCACCATGGGCGCTGTGTCTGCGCCTACGGGGGGGGGGAAGCGGACCCAAAACTGACCAACTAGGTATTCCATCCCACATACGTTATACTCAGTATAAAGCCGAGGGATCAGGAGGGTCTCGATCCCTTCTTCCATCTTGGACCCTTCCATCCATCTCGATCCTGCAGTGGCCTAGGCCTGAGCAGAACCCTGCTAGTTAGTCTGCCACTGGTCCTGATTTGTGTGTTCTGCATCCTGCTCCCACCTGCTGCTGGGTTTGGCCTGGGACTTTTCCAGTGCCCTGCTCTGCAGAGCCTCTGGTGACGTATTCGTCACTGGGGGGAGGGTGGGGAAAGGATTTTATATTGGTTTTGTATATATTTGTACATGTTTGTATATATATTTCATTATTTTCATATTTACATTATTATTCTGTAGTGTTAGTATTACTGTTTCATTAAATCTGTTAGTTTATTTTCCAACTCATAAAGTCTCTCTCCCTTATTCTCTTTTCTCTTCCCTTCTGGGGAGGGGAGAAGGGTTAATAGAGAGCATCTGTCCAGGATTTAGTGACCAGCCCAGCCCTAAACAACAACATACGCTTAGCAGCTTCTTGTGTCAAAACTCTGCATCTCAAACTTGTTAGAGATATGATAAATGACCGAAATAGTAGACTACACTTATTAATTTTGATATCTAATTCCATGGCTATTCCTTCAGAAAAAGAGGTTTGTTACTGAGGGATCTAAAGGGGCTTCAGAAATTAGAAAATAATTCCTTCTGAAGGGCATAAAACAGATCAGTTCTGCTTCAAATTCAATTACACTTTTACTATTAACTTCAGGAAAATTGAGTACAGCAAAACACAAAACAGGGGTTTTTTGTTCTTTCAGACCTGCAAAGAGTGGATTATAAGCAATTTTTTTTAAGGGCATAAGTTTGGCTCTTGTGTAAAAATAAATCTCATAAGCAGGTTTTTTTAAGCAGTTAGCTGAATCACTGACTTTTACAAATGCAGTTTGTAGCATCAAGGTTATAACACAGAAGAAGAGAGTTCCATTTACAGACAACCAAAATTTAACTGGAAAGGTCTTCAGAAAAAATAAAAAAATAAATCTAAATGTCCAGTATACTTAAAGTGGGATAAGACACTTCCAAAATTTACTCAAGAGAAACTCAAAAAGTGACTTGATAATGTGAGATTTCAGATAACAAATGGAGTTTCAATTAGCAGAAAAAAGGCATGATATACCCTAGAGATCAATACCAAAAGTAGAAAAGTTCATATCAAAGAATAGGCAAATAATTTAAAGTGAAGTTCATTAATCACTGTAGTGGTATAACTCATATCTCAGACAAACTGCATCCTCTGATACACACCAAAGCCAGTAATAAGTCCTCAGATAACCCCCATCTTTAAATAATATGAGAGCAGCAGGACAACAGGAACTACTCTAGCACATGCAGTTGTGGGAGAGTTACTGAAAGAAGGAGGAAAGGCCTAAGTCCTTCTCACTCCTACAGGGTGACTTGCAGACCTCTACTTTAAGGCATTAATACAAAATAATTACTTTTCTTTTTAAAACTAATAATAAATATAAATCCTTCATTAAAGTTCAGGGATCTGCTGAAATAAAACAAAACAAAGCAAAACAAAACAAAAATAATGAACTGTTATTCATCTGCAAGAGGAAGCATACCTATGGTGATGCAACCCCATGAAGTATCTCATCCACAACAATACCATGACTAAATAGTATCTTTTAAAAAAGAAAACTGGCACTTTTCAGAATATTTGGAACTGACATTGACATTTCAAAGAACATAAAAAGCATTACTTTAAGTTTCAGTTCCAAATTGTTTCTTACTACTAGCTAAAATAATATATTATATTAATTACTAATTTGTTTTTGTTTGTGTTGGCTATCCAACTGTTCGTCAATCTTTCTTTTGGAGAATGTAGGATTACTAATAAAGAGACCTAGCAAAATAGGTCCCAGATTACTTGATTTTTAAAAGAAATATTTTTTTTTAAATACATTGCATTGCCTGATACACAACAGACTATCCCAGACCACAGAATTCTACTCACCATTTTCATTATACCATCTGAGTAAGTTTGTATTTCCTTTTTTTTTTTTTATTTAATGACATTTGTTGAAGGGATTTCATCACTTGACTGTTAATTATTCTTAAAATCAAAAAGAATTTGTCTATCCATGCCTGAATTTATGTAGCTTCACCTTTCCATTTCTTAGATTAATTCTGATCAAACTATCTATGCAATAAAATAAACCTAGAAAATGTTTAAATAAAATAATTTCATTTAAAGCCTTTATTTGTAAATTCTACTGCAGTTGAAATAGTTTCTATTGTTTTGAGTTTTTTTCTATTGAAACAGACCTTATAAAAACAAATAAAAAGATAAATTCCCTTCTAGGCTGAATACACAATCTGTTTTGGCACTTTTAAATACTTTTCCAACTTCCAATATTTTTTTTCAGAACAATGGATATCTTGCTCGAAAAACCTAAGAATATCTTGCTCTACTAATTTAAGAAAGCATCTGCACATTCAGTATTTAATTGATATTTCTCAATTATATTTTATTTTATATAATGTACCTGATACTTATATAATGTGATCTTCAACTTGCCTGCAATTTTTAATTCTAATAAATAATCCATTGTAATATATAACTAAAAAAAAATAAATTTTAGTCATTCTTTATGAGATTTGTCCTTATTGTAACCAATTATTTCCTAATACCAGCCAAATAAAACCTCATCCACCCACATACTTCACTTTACAGTGATATGCTTCATCGTTATTCAGTGAATTGTAACCTATAATGACATTGCAGGAAAATAACCTGTGGACTGTTGACTAAACTAATGAGAAACCTTGGCCACAAAATAGCAATTAATTTTCCTTGAATAGAGGTCTTTAGTGGGTCAACAAGATAAGAGCAAGCGTATCATTACATATTTTAAGAACTAGTATATCTATTCAACAATATTCTTATCAATGACAACACAAATGGACATTAATGCTTCTTCTGAGTCACTTCTTATAAGGTCAGATGTTCACAGGAAAGTCTATACTTTCACTTTATAGGCATAATTTAAGCCTATTTGCATTCATGTGAAGTACATTCCACTTTTCTCATGGCTATCTTGAAGTTGAAGACTGCTGTGTGTTGAAGATAAAATTAATGTTGTGTTGTCTGCACAGAGATTCAAACCTAAGGTAAGGTTTTAAAAATCATAGCAATCAATACAGATTTATAGAAAGGTTATGATGACAAAAATGATTAGCCCTTCCTCCCTCAAAAAGGATCACTTACACTTAGATATATTCTTAAATCTTACTGAAGAAACAATAATATGGTAATGTGATAAATTGCTGCCGCTGCTTGATCTACAGCAAAATAAACAATATGAGAAAGCAATAACACTTTCTGACCTACTAATGAATTGCAGTGAATTAGTTTGATATTCTTTGTAAGAGAATTGATGATGAACTTACTGGCTGTTCCATTGTAATTTGGCATTCACTAATAACTACTTAAATTAGAGTGCTGTTAAACAAAAGTACAGTATGCGCAGTTGCAAACACTTTTCAACTCTCATATCAAACCTTATTACAGTTGCTTAGCTTGAATCTTAAGGGGAAGATCTTTCCTTTAGTTTCCATTACACAGGGCAGCGTAGCTGACGGTTGCCTATTGTGACACTATCTAACATCCTAGAATATGTTTGCTTTATTTTTTCTAGTCCTCTAAAATATAGCTTGTCCTCATTAAAAGTAACATTAACTATATACAAAGACTCTTTTTGTGTAAACATAGAATAACAAGCTACAAAATTCATCCTACCTTTATACTTAATCCAAATCCTCCTACAGTCTGTCTTCTAATTGTAACTGTTCTTTCCTGGAGAAAAAAAATAAATCATGTTTTGTTAGATTTAATGTCTTCTGCCATAACACCTGTAGGCATACTTCAATAAATTGTTTCCATGCTACATCCTATATTGATTTTTATTGTTTTAATAAACTTGTGAGTTTCTGAATGCAAAAATCCCATGAAACCTATGCTGCAAAGGAAAAAGTTGGAGAGTCTGGAAGAAAAGCAGAGGTCCTGTATCAGACAAAAAATAATCTGTTCAATTTATAGCATACTGGATATATGTACACTAGCACTGCGATGCAATAAGAACAGAACTGTAGAGTTTAACAATGCACAACACATGCATTTTAGCGGTCTTAAATTTGACTAGTCCTAAATTGGTCCCATATGCAGATTGAGCACTCTGTGCTCAAGTATATAAACAATAATCCAGTAGCACATTTTCCAATTTAGTTTAATCCAAAAGGAATACAGCTTGTGTATTCCAAGACCACTTAGTGATGTGAACCAAGGCATGATAAGTGCCCATGATCCAGAAATACATTTCAAAGTGCAGTCCTAATCCAAATTGAAAAACTAATACAAACACAGACACTGTTGACCTCAGAGCTACGGTTTAAAAACTGTAACCAACAATTTATAGTATGTTGTTAAGGGAGGAATTATTTAAAGCAGTTCCCCCCTCTTTTTTTTCCTTTTTATTGCTCATCCTAAAATGTGTTCTGTAAAAACTGTAGGCTAGTATCTGTCTTGGATAGGAATATTTATAAAAAAAGACTTTTTTTCCTACTCTGTCTTGTTGACTTTATTCCCTAAGATCATTAAGTATTAATCAATTTTGTCAGCAAAAAAAATCTTAGTAGCAGATATACCATATGTCCATACAATATATGAGATATATAGATCTTTAATGCCCTTTGCATGTGGTCTACACTTAATACTCATTATATATACTGCATAGCAAAAGTCTGCATGTCTATTTTCTCTATATATGTTCATATATTTCAGCACAATCAGCATAGATTTCCAGCATCAGTCAGATTTGAAGAAGTGTCTCTACAGAGCTATTTTTTTGTTCTTACTTCATATACAGAAAGGAAAGTAAAGGATGTAGGGCTACCACATAAGTGCTATTGCTGGATTTGGGGTAAAATCCAGTTCCTGTACTTCTTTTTCACATTTGTGGCAAATATGAATTGTGTAACTGCAGAAAGAGCAAGCATAAACTAGTTCAATGTTTTAGACAGCAAGACAAAATGGATTGCCTAAAATGAGACTTTCCATTTAGGCTAATGCTTTTAAATGTTTAATCTAAGAAAGAAGTATACTATTTTTCTGTTAAATGACAAAACCTTTTTTTTTTTTAACATTCGAAATGCACAAAAGAAAAAATACTCTTATATTTGTAACTGCAAATGAATGCATAGCATGGCAAGAAAGAAATATATGGCTATCCTCTTTCATCCATGTGCTTCTGTGCTGTTCAGAGGGATAAGAGCCTTCTCGGCTCTCAACTCACACCTTCAAGGAAGGAACTTTCATAACAAAGTTTCTAGAAACTCTGTTCAGTCCACTGTATTTATTCCACTTCGGACCACAAACTGCACTTAAAAAAACTTTTGTCTGGCAGGAAGTTTCAGCTGCAGGTAACGCTGCAGACAATATATTCAGGATAAACTATTACTGGCCACAGTCTGATGTGTGGTCTAAGTTGAGTGTACACAAATAAACATGAAACACTGGGATGTGGCTCCCCTGGCAGCTGTATTTCTCCTGTCAGTTCCACCTCATTTCTAGCTTCAGCTTGTGTTGAACATCTGGTTAAGAACAGAAGCTTAACTTGTACACTCCAGTCAATACATTCCAGTATTTTTGTTATAAGTGCTCAAACCAAGAAGAAAATACTTCTGTTAGCTAAGAAGATGTTGAAAAATAGCAACCTTTTAACAAAGATAAACTGGCTTGATAATATTACATTAATCATGAATGGAATAAAGAAGATTTCAAATTAAGTAGCATGCTCAGTGAAAAACAAAAACCTTTATTAAAATTTGTAGTTCATGCTATGTCAGCAGTCATTGTGAAGATTAAATAGTAGCATCTGAATATATTCTAAGCTATGCTTTTAAAAAACCTAACAGAAAGCTGTTCTGCAGAATGTTGTCTTTTTTAGCACAACACACACACAAGTACCCATTTAAAAGAGTAAATAATTTTTTTTCTGGTTTTCATTCAAGCTAAGACACAGGCAAGCCAGCCTTGAAAACATCTGATTTTGGGTTTACCAGTTCTGTCTGACAGGAAACTAGAATCAATTTACACTAGAGTTTTGGATTACTTTTTCAGAGAAGTAAATGTATGTATCAGAAATACTTTGCTAGCATGGCAGATTAATAAATAGACAAAACTGTAAAAGTAAGCCAAGGCAACAGAAAAATTTCAAGCAACTGTAATTTTCCAGCACACCATAATTTATCAGAGGGTTTCATCTGGTATTTTTCCTAGGTTCTTTTCTATCTCCATTTAGAGCAAATATCAAATATTTCAGGTCTGGACTTATACTGAACCGAATCGAACTTTTAAAATATACTGCAAACTAGATCCATTTGATTAATGTGTTATATGTAATGAGGGCAGCACATTGTATTTAACCTAGGCTAATTCAATACACTTCTCAGTCTTACAATAAAGAAATATTACTTTAGTGTATCTTGAGTATAAAGACTTACGTACTATTCACAGCATCATAGCTAACAATTAGAAACATGCAAGCAATTAATGGTTATAAAAAATACAAATCAGAATTACATACAAGTTACATATTTCATTAGTAAACCATCAACAATCCACTAGTCTGTGACTGCAAGCTTCACACAAACGATATAGTGAAACGGCTTTTCCAGAACTGTCAGAAGTATCACACATTTCATACACCAGAATTTTGGCTTAGGATCAGACCCCAGGTTTGATCAGCTCCTCTTTTTTTACCCAGAAGTTTAGAAGAAAAATGATAGGATTTCTCTAGCCACAGTTAATCCATATAAAACTGAGTCACTGGATTCTCATTCAAGTGTTCTCCAGTAATCAGTAAAGGAAAATAATTACATTCAATGCAGGTAAGTCAAAGCAGGTGCTCAAGTTAGGTGATAATCACCTTCATTATCTATGTCCTCCACTGAGGAGGAGCAGAGCCAGGATGCCAAATTTAGCTTTGGAAAATCCCATGCTTTAGAGTAGCAAAGTAACTTGAATAAGTATTTTGACAGTAGATACTAGTTTTCAATTTTTTTGCCTAAAACCTCTTTTATCTGAGCTTTTTCTTTATGAGTTGCACATGACTTTTTTGTATGTGGCTCACAAAAAAAACAAGCAAAACTTCATTTTCAGGGCCATCTTCAAACAAGGTGAACTGAATAAACCTTGTCTGCAAAGCACTTTATTTTAATGTAAAATAATATTTTTATATAATGATTAATACAACAAAAAAGAGGTTTGACCAGGAAACAGAAGGAAATTATTTTGTTCTATTGCTTTTAATTAGTATTTCAAATGAACAATAGCAATAAAAAAATGCTTTTCACTGGTCTAACAGCTTTAAATTCTTAAAATGCTTTACAACTATTCATTAATAAATTATGTCAACAATTCTGGAAGGCAACACAATTTGTAGCAGTAAAGAAGTACTCTGTGTATCCCAATTGACCATTTGTGCTGTTCCACTTGAAAGATGGTGCTGCTTCCACTGATTCCAACTACCTGCTTATAATAGAAACTCACTAAAAGTCTGTGTCAGGTGTAGATTTAGCTATTAATATTTTACTTAGTTTTGCTTTCCCCTCTATTTGGACAGGGTAGTATTCTATGATTGAATTTGCAATGGTTTTGGAACTTCCAAAAGCAACTTCAACTCCAAGTTTACAAAATAAAGCTTGATTCTCATGAAAAGCTACTTAGTTCTATAACAACACTACACAAATGTCCTTTGAGCTTGTAAGTTCATTATCACATTTGTTATCTACATTACACCAAACAGAGGGAAAGTTAAGAGCTCCTAGTATCTTTAATGCAAGATTCAGAGCAGTGTTTTAGAAGCTGTTTCCTGGAACAGAACAAAAGTAGTTAGCATTTTATTGAAAAAAAAACAAAGCTGCTGCCAAGCTATCTGTACTTTCCATGCCTCTAACTCAGAAAATTCCTCATCCACACCTACGTTAATTGACTAGAAAGAAGAGTGAAAGAGTATTGCAAACAAAAAATTTTTTCCTCAGAGCATGTAGTGAAACAGAAGCAACGTTTGTTAGGCTTTCATTAAAGAGGTATTATAATTTCTGAATTAAAAGCTGAATGGGTGCAGAACAAAGAGTAGGTGGGAAAAGAGGAATAGACATGGAGAGGAATCTACAATAGCACAGTGCAATGGAAAAATGTAGAGGAATAGAATAGAATAGAATAGAATAGAATAGAATAGAATAGAATAGAATAGAATTTTTAAAATTTAATAATGAAATACAAAGAAATAATCATTACTTTGGCAGCAACTTCCTAGATAACCTGTTAGCATTTGATGCCATAATATCTTCAAGACCATGTTTTTTATCAGGTATTAGTAATAACACTACATTTTGAAATAAGAAAATGTAAGATTTTTTGTTGTTGAATTATTTCACACATTTTCACAAAGGGAGATTTTAAATCCTCTTTTTGGTAATGATTTGCTCTTTCTTACTGGCATTTCTTTGGATTAATTGACATAGGCAGTCAAACTTTACATTCATTCTGAGTGTAAAGGACACAGGACACAGATCAGTAGCAGTTCCAATTTGAATTAATAGTGTTAACAAGGTTTGCCACCAGACCTGCTCATCTGCTAACAACTTGTGTTGTGTGACATTTGAAGCTTGTCTCGTTATTTCAGTTCCTCATGCAACTGAAGGAGGTCAGCAATAAGGGATGCAGGCAGAAATGCCTGGTCAATTGGAAATGCCCCTTCCTCTGCAGCCATGCCGGAGACTGAGGATGGTAGA